CAAGCTGTTTGCCTTCCCGTTCAATGTCCCAGACTATACTCACTACTTACACACAATTGCCCCAGAGTTCTAGTCAGCCAGTATTGCAAGCAACCACTGTCTTGTTAAATGCAAAATAAAATCTCTTCTGCTTTTTCCAAGAATAATTTCAAGCTTGGAAAAATCCCGCTATAAACATCTATAAGCCTGATTTATTGTCTCCCTTAAAACAATAAGAAACAAACAACCCACACCCACCTCTTCCACAACGCTGTCATAAAAAGTTGACAATTTAACCGTTCACTTCATTACTTATTGTGGTTGCAGTACTTCTTGTCATGCAGAGATTATAATTTGAGCCACTAATGACAGCAGAAATGGTCTATAAACAGACCATGAGAACATTAAAAAAATAGAAACTCGAGTGTTTGCCATTTGCATTGCTGAGAACATCAGGCATTCAGGATGAAGGAAATGGAGCATGGTAACAATTGAAACAAACTGGAAAGCCATCTGGGTGTCATAGACAGTGATTTGTTACAATGGGCAGGCTTCAGACTGAACTGTCAAACTTATTCACCCCAGTGTATTCACCCACACTATTTAAGTGAAGTTTGATGGTAATTTTTGTTTCTCTCTTCATACCCAATAACATTTGGACCCTACAAAAGTTATCTTGCAGTTACAAAATTCTTTATACCTCACCTTACTTGTCTCATCTGTGGAGGTGCTGGCTGGAGCAGGTGGTATTGTGCCTCCCATGCTTTTCAACAAAACAGAGAAGAGAACAAAGAAAACAGTAAGATTATCAAAATAGTGGCCCATATTTTATTGATTCAAATCCTGCTGATAGTCTCAGCTTTCTGTTATGACAGAAAACATGATGATCCAATTCACTGTAAAAGCAGTAAAAATAGCACACGGCGTTCATGATTTCACAATGTAACATAACACACATTGACTCTTTCACCTAAAACTGCACTGTAACTTGTACTCAAGTGCATGACACATCACCCCCATCCATCCTTTTTCACAAGGAAAAGTTGCCTTTTTAGCAGAAACTGATTTTTTTCCCTTAAAACGTAAGTTTTATTTCAAGTCCAAAATAGATAGTATTATAGCTATTACTGAAACTAGAATTGTTTTTGAAACAGAGTTCAAACAAGCTAACAGAACCACAATAGTCTAAAAAATGTCTGTTATCCTGATTTTTTGGGGGTCTAAAATGCTTATATAATTAACAGAAATGCTGTTCTCTATGCAGCATTTTTTTCTGCGTTGCAATATCCATGCCTTTTCACTGTAAGTTGAAGAGCACTTGTGCTTTCACTACACGTTTAAGAGCATTCTCTGTATAGCCAGCATTCTCTCAATATAGAATAAACTTCTATATTCTATCAACTTTGGGTAGCAGCCAGGAAGAAGTGCAGGCTGAATTCTCCAGCTGTTTCATGTAGCATCTAATCATATCTAATGGCAGGCTGCCACAAGGACTACCATTCCCATCCATTCTCTGCCCCACTTTCTCATCTACAGATAGATTTCAATTGCTCTGCCCCTACACGCTCCAAAAGGAGAAAAACAACAACAAAAAAAATACAACAATAAAAACGACGACACTTGAGTCCATCAACTCAGTCTCAGCCAAGTCACTGACCACACAACTGGTTCGACGTGATGCAGGGGAGAAGGGAAGGAAGTGGGCAAATAGGCAGGAGAAACTGGAAGGGCCCAGGAGTGTTTGCTTCCAGGAATGACTGCAACCCAAAACCACACAATTTGCAGAGAAGGAAGGGGAGGTGGCAGGATTCACAGGTCCTGGCACACTATGCTACTTCTAGTCTACATCAGGAGAGATATCAAGAAAAAAAATATCACAAGTTTTTTTTTAAAGGCATCTTCTGAAGCTATTAGAAAATCTACACACGTCCCTGGTATGTCGATACTGCTTTAGCTATGTTATACTCCAAGGACTGAACAACTCCAGGCTGATAAATCATTAGAGAGCTAAGCAAAAAATACTGCATGCATAGCAACTGCCCCTCCTAATTTTTACCCTTGCAGGCTGCCAGTCAGGTATGCAACTCTCCATACTTCTGTAAAAATCAAGAAATTTTCATCCTAGCTTCCTGAACAGGCAGTTCAAGAAAAGTTGGCCATAGCTGCAGAAAGAAAAAGAAATGGGAGCTGTCTAGGGGAGCCTTGGAACTTCTCTTCTGCTGTGAATCCAAAAAGCCTGCAGGACTCAAGTTTCAGAGCAATTCTAAATAATTGGTCTTGAGGTCAGCTTGTTTTTAAGTCTGGCACCTTGTTCAAGGCTGAAATCACCTGGTCTCTACTCTCTTCACATCCCAAAAGGCACCCTTTCCAAAGCTTAAAACAGGCTATGAGATATGTGTATGTATGTTAAATATGTACACTTATATACATGCCTTTTTTTTTTTTATTACATGCATATGTATTTATGCTATTTCATGAACAACTGAGGCTAAACAGTTTTATTCATAGTCCTTGAAAATTCTAAAGCAAGTTCCTCTAAAATCCTTCCTTAAAACAGTAGATGGTTACAATGGTTAAATGCATGGTAAGGATATGCAAAGTTTGCATATTTTATTTAACCTCAATACTATATAGATACACAGGATACTCTTGGAGAAAAATGCAAGTTTTTCAGGAGGCAAAGCTCAGGAGAAACTGAGTTGCAGCTCAGGAGAAACCGAGCTGTACAAATTGTGCACAACAACATTTGGAATCGAGTCTTTTGCTGAACCAGTTGTGCAATCCTGGTGACAACTCCTGGGAAGCCATCAGGACTCCATTGCAACAGGGACTCCAGACTTCTGCTGATCACGGTGACGAGAAGCGCTGCTGCTATGACTTGTTGGGAGAACTGCAGCTGTCACTTCTGCATCCACTTTTGGCACTCACAGCAAAGTTGTCTTTACAGACTAACAACAGGGTCAAAATCTACTTGAACGAAACAGTAAGAACAACAACAAAACAGGCAGAAAGCCTGGTATGTGAATGAGGGGTTCTGTGCTTTACTTTTCACTAATACCATTGTTTCTTTTTTTAAGCACATTCCCCTTAATGGCTTATTTTGTACCAATTCATGTCAAAACATTTTTATTTGCATGCAATTCCAAAAAAAAAAAAGTGACTTGAATAAAAGGGATGTCAAACTCCCTTGCAAACATTACCATGCAGCAGCAAATGCTTTCCACGCAGCTAGGCAAAATAAAGGCCAGCAGATAAGTGCGTGAAAGCAGCAGAGATGATCTAAGGCTTCTGATGCAACACTAGCAGCTAGCCAGAAATCAAGCTGACTTATTAATTAAGCTGAAATTCGCTCCGACTCTACTAGTGGCTAGCATCATTTTGAAACGCTGACTAAATTTCGTTGGAAACGTTAGCTTTGAAACAAAACTCAGCTCAGAATTTTGGTCGCAGAAACGTAAGAACGGGTTTCAGTGCCTTTTACTCACTGCTCTGAAACCATTTGCAACCCCACCTGGGTGATTACACCTCTGAGTTTTGGGCTCAGATGAGCCTGATGGATGTGATAAAGCACTCAGGCGCTGCAGGTCCAGGTGAGGCTGTGGGATGGGATGAAACCCACCGGGCTCCCCCCCCCCACCTGAGGCCAGGCTGGGCTGAGCTCCACGCAGCTTCCCGAGAAGGCGCAGCCCTGGTGGCTGCACGCCCCGTCCCGCCCCACGCAGCCCTGAGGGGGCCAGGGACCCCCCCAGCTGCCACATTTTGACGTGAAAAACCAAATCCTGACGGGAAAAACGCTCCCAAATCCCGGCTGCGGGCACGCAACTCCCCCAAACACCTGAGGAAACCCCCTGGAGACCTGAGGGAGAGGAAGAACTTCGCGGGGAGGGGGTGGATGAGGCGCCCCGCTCGTTAACCGTCGGTTAACGGCTGAGCAGCCCTGAAGCAGCCGTGAAGCGGCCACCCCCCCCTCAGCCCTCCCCTCACCCTCCCGCCCCCGGGGAGCCCGGGGTCCTGTCCCCGCACCTCTCGAGCCACTCGCGGAGGAAGGCGAGCTCCTCGCTGTGCAGCAGGGCCGGGTTCTGCTTGCAGAGCCTGACGAAGGCCCGCAGCTCGCTCAGCTTGCGCGAGTCCATGGCGGCGGCGCGGCGGGAGCGAGCAGGCGGGATGGCGGCCGCGGGCACGAGCGCACGAGCACGCGCCCGCTCCCCGGACCGGCCACTGCGCGGCGCCGCGGGTACCCCTCAGCCCGCCGCCAGGCCCCGCCCCCCTCACACGAGCCCCCGCCCCCTCCGCGAGCCCAACCCCGCCCCCTTCTCCGTCGACCAAGCCCGCGCGGCGGGCGGAACGTTCTAGAAGCGGGGTGGCCGTTCAACGGCCGGCGGCCGCCCTGAGGCGCCGCGCAGCGCCTCAGGGCGGCCGCCGCCGCCGCGCTGCTCCTCGCTGCCTGCCCTCCTGTGGCAGCGCCGCTCGCCGGGCGCCCTTCGTGTGGGCTCCTCAGGCAATGCGGGGCCGCCCGTCGGCGGTGTGACGGCGCCGCGACGCGGCGGGGAAGGCCCCGTGGTGGGCGGGCAGGGGGCGGGCGGGTGGCGGAGCCCCGCGCTGGTGCCGGCCCTCGGCCATGCGGAGGCTCCTGTGGGCGGCGGTGAGGGGCTGGCGCGGCTCCCCAGGTCAGAGGGTCCTCGATGGGGAGCACCCCCAGCCCCTGCCGCCGGCCCCGGGCGCTGAGGAGGGTGGGGAGGGGGTGAAGGGGAGGATGGCTCCGGGCCCGGCCCCCTGGGACGTGGCTCTGGGCCCGCCGGGGGAACGGGTTGTGTGGAAAATAAAGCACCACGTTGGAAAGCTGCCCCAGGTGTTGAGGGTGTCGCTTTATTGAGTGCCTGTTGTGGTCCCTCAGCTCGCTGCCTGCTTGGGGGGGTGGAGGGGGGGTGGAGTCTCTGCAAAACCTCTCGTTTTCTGTCAGTTAAAACTGTAATCAGCCCTCCCTGCCTGCAGCCCCGGACTGTTACTCCCGTCAGTCATCACGCACTGAATGCTTTATGCTGTGCCTATCACTTGTCCCGTGTAAGTAATCCCCAATTAGTGGCTAGGCAGCTCACACAACTCCCAAGGCGTACAGTTCTGCCACAGACCCACGTCCCATCGCCCTGAGAGACAGGCAGCTGCTCAGCTCATGTCCGTGCTTTATGCTTGCTTCTGCTACTGAAAAGTTAATTATCATTTGCGCTGAGAATCCAGGACTATCTACGCCATGGCAGCATGAATTGGTTTTGTAGTAGGCACATGGCAAGTGACATGAAAGACAGCGTCTGAAGCATCAGCTGTTCGATGTTAGGAAACCCACTATCATCTCCCTCCATGTGCTAGATAATTTGCAGCTAGGCGTCAGCAATTCTTCAGCTGTGAAAGAAAGCTGTGTGACTGAGAAATCCAAAGTCGGTGCAGTTTGTGACACCAGTATTTAACTGCAGCTTTTGTCTTGCTGCGTGCTCCCCCAGCTCCCAAATTCTCTTTAAAAACTGCCTGCTTTGGCTGCACGAGTGGAAAGTGGGAGTGGAAATGGGATACACAGCAACACTGCTGAGGAACCGTTTTCAACTTGGCCGCTGCTCCCGTCAAGTTAAATACAGGAACAAGGAACCTCAAGCATCCTTCATACAGGAACAAAATATCTGCAACTTGGTGACGTCTTAGTGGCGTTATTACTAACAAAAGGACTGTAGAGGCCTTGAAAATTCCCCAGTTGTTCCACGTTCACAGAACACATTCATGTTCAGAGCGGTCTTTGAAGGTGTAGTCAAGAAACAGCGATACGCAGGCGGAAAGGATCGCTTCGAGCCCTCCTGCTGCCTGAGGGAAGCAGGGGGTGGGGATGGTGCTGGGTGCATCTTCTGCACAAAGAGCAGGCATGTGCATGTAACACCGATTTCTGTTTTCTTGCTGGATTGCCAGGTTTAATTGTCATTACGCTAATTTCTTTCAATACGTTTTACAACTATTTGGTTGTTAGTTGAGTTGTGTGCATGTGGTTTTGTAAGCTCGCAAGGTATGCAACAAATTCAAAAGTTGAGGGATATTTGGTGATACGAGGTGAATGAATGCTACAAAGAGTAAGATGACTGGAGTGTAATTCTGCAGTTTGCGGCCTGGAAAGATCTTTTACATTGACACAGGTGCGTTTCTTTTCCTCTAGTTTGCAAGTCATGTGCGCTCCGAAGATTTTCCATCCAGCCCGCCCAGCAGAAGAAGATTCCAAACCGGTATTTGGGCCAGCCCAGCCCCTTCACACACCCACACCTTCTCAAACCAGGTTAGGTTCATGCTCAGTATCAGCCCATCACTGACATTTTGTCTTTTCTCTGCTTTTCTGAGATGTCTAGGACAGAGCATTGATCCGTTGCGTCATACAGGTGTCCATGATTTCAGATGCTCACGATTACCTTCAGTAGGCAGTAATTATATCTAGTATTTAACTTCCTTGTCTGAGGTGATACTGATTCCAAAAACAGGCTTTGCATGTTAGCTTTCTACTGCTTGTCATCACTGACTTAAGTGCTGTACATCTTTCATGGCAGCAGCAACTTGTGAGCTCATTGTCCTGCAAATAGTCTGTTTTATATGAAAAAGGGAGAATTCTTTGTGTAAGCAGAAATAACCAGAATAATTCATATCCAATGTCTTGTGAGTCACAAAACAAAGGCCCCTATTCATGAAGGGAGACTGGGGAGAGACTTACTGAGAGCTGGTCACCACTTGTCTAAAGAACGTCCTCTTCAGAAGACTGTTCAAACTGTGAGAAAGAGAAGAAAAAGAGACAAGTCTCTAAGTAAAGGTAGCAATAAAAGAGATGGTGAGGTTGTGCACATTTATGAAATAGTGAAAATGAGTTTGTAGATACGAGGTGACAGTGATAACATTTTTTTCAATTGAAAATAAAAATGTATTCTTGAATATGTCCAGGAAAATATTCTGAGTTTGTGTTCTTTTTTCATAGGTATGTATACAGAGAGAACAGATGAGTATATAACCATATACTTAGACGTTTAGTTGTAGGATAATTCAGGTCAGAAGGGCCCTCAGGACATTACCAGGTCCACTCTACTCAAAGCAGAGCTAACTTCAATATTAGATCAGGTTGCTCAAGGCACCGATGAACAGTTCCCAGTAAATGAGACACTTTGAAAGTACTCAGAACTGAAATACCAGAGAAGAACTCTAGCTGTTCATAGTAATTTTCCTTTTAATAAAGGATTGTTGTTTTCCTTAAAATAATATGACATTGATTTATTGTAATTATTGTTTTTAAAAGAAAATGTCTTTAAGGCAAAGAGAATTCCACACCTCTCAATTGGAAGGAAACCTCCTTCTAAACTTGACTGGACTGTTTGCAGTAGTTAGCTGGCTGGCATGTAGTGGAGGCTAGGAAATTTGTAGCGTAATATTGCAGAAATGTGGGATCAGATTCCAGTAAAACAGTTTCTGTGTTCTATGGCATTTGTAGATCTACAGATAAAAATAAATAAATAAATTACTTTTACACCAAATACCAAGGTGTAAAGTGTAATGCAAACAAAATGTGTTTTCTTTAAACTCTTTTGTCAGAGAAAAACATTCTGCATAAAACTTTATTTCCCACCCCACTTCTGTGAGAATCCATTTACAAGTCATTTTTTTTTCTAGAGTTGTCAGTACGTTAAATAACATGAAACTAGAATTTAACAGTATAAAAATTCAATCCATGCTAAAATAAGAAATTAGCCAAAGTACCAATTAAGGCTCATGCATTGATTTATAGCATAGGTAAGGAGTCTCACATTTTAAAAAATACATACTTAGTCCGTTGTTGGTTGTTTGTTTTTTTTTTGACTTCAGTCTTGTTTTGGTGAGTCTTTCGGTTGCTGTACTTCATGCCCTTTGTAACTGGAGCAATATGAAACATACCTTCATCTAAAATATGATTTGTTTAGTTAGAGTCATTGGAAATATAGTACTTAGCTTTGGAAAAATCCAAATTGTTAATTACCGAGAGCAGCTGCATCTTCCCTGGAGAAGATTCCTTCCTTTAATCAAAGGTTCTGATGCCAGCCTGCAGGTCGTGGTTTCTTTCTGCTTGGAATCCTGTGACTGGTTGTACTCTGCAGAGACAACCTCTGTGTTTCTGAATCACCTCCCAGTAACAGTCTGCCCCTTAGAGCTTAGAACTAGTTACTTTATGAGTTGACTTAGCGTGTATTTGAACAGACATTTGGGCTTTATCTGAGGAGATCTGTGCTCAGCCTGAGGAGGTAATCTTCTGTTCAATGTCCAGATGCCATAAAAAAGAACCATCAGTTTTCAGCAGCCAAAGTTCAGTTTGCCTTGTCCCTTCCCCATTTTTCCGTATCTATCTGAAATTTGTTTCTTCCAAAGTTTTATTCACTGAATGCTCTGGATTGTCTAAATCTACCAGGTTCTGTGATTTCTGCCTTTGCACAGAAACATATAACAGAAAATCTGGCTTCTGTTTAAAACAAGTCTCTTGCTTTGCATGATGGTGGAGCAGAATGAGCGAGGATGTGCTGTAGGGATGGGAGCTGAAGTGGTGTAGGAGACAGCGATGGAAAGACTAATTGTGGAAAGGGCCACAATGAAGCCATGCGTATGAAAGGCATTAGGGAGGAGTCAGGAATCAGTCATTGTGATTAGTAAAATATCATGAATGCCTTGAATTTCTTGGTCTGATTTGTTTTTTGTTCACAGGGGAGGTAACCCCAGGATTGTCACAGGTGGAATATGCTCTTCGCCGACACAAACTGATGGCATTGATCCAGAAGGAAGCCCAGGACTGTGAAGGAGTGGACCACACAGTGATTCTGCTATCGAATCCCACGTACTACATGAGCAATGACATCCCCTACGTTTTCCACCAGGACACTAACTTCCTGTACCTCTGCGGCTTCCAGGAGCCTGACAGCATCCTGGTGCTGCAGAGCCTTCCTGACAAAGCACTGCCCTCCCACAAGGCCATCCTCTTTGTGCCCCGGAGAGATCCGAGACGAGAGCTGTGGGACGGGCCCAGGTCAGGCACAGATGGGGCTGTTGCTCTCACAGGAGTAGATGAAGCTTACACTATAGAGGAGTTCAGGCACTTGGTGGCCAAGCTGAAAGGTAACAGAAAATGGAGGGGGGATGAGGTGAGAAATGGGTTGCAGGGTCTGAACATCGTAACAGTTCTGGGAAGTATCTGGGTACTAACTAGGTGAAGCATCTCCCTTGAATACCCAGTTGGGGAGCCTGTATTGCTGCTAGTGCCTGTGGAAAAGAGGAGGGTTTCCTGTAGGTGCTTTAAGATACTCTGTCCTTGTTGACTGACTGTAGAAAAGTTGCAGGATCTTAAGTTAGGCATCTAACTTAGACATCTATAGCTTGCCACAGTGAATTTCCCACCTTTTGTCCCACATAATCCCAGTAAGAATAATTGTTAATGGAGAGGTCTGCACAAGTAGGAGGCTTGTTCTGCTGTTTCTGCCAATTCTGTATTTCATCTGTTCATAGAAAATTTCATTTAGGCTGGCATCTTCCATGTACATTATATTTACTTTGTAATCCCAGTGAGGTGATGCAAAACGGCTTCTCTGACAGGTTCTGTCTGTGCTGTGTGAGCGGTTGTCTTGTCACTGCATATCGGATTCCTCTATGAAAAATCGAGTATTAAGCCATCTCGTTTTCTCAAAGCATTCTTGAATACACTGAGCCCAGCTGTGCCCCATCTTTATTACAGAACCAAATATTTGTTAGCTTCTTGAGAGATAATAATGGAAACATACTTTTGAAAATAATAGTTTTTCCTCCACTCTAAACCTCTTGAGTACCCATGTGGATGCTGGTGAAAAGTAAGGAATATAATAAACAAGGCAACCTGGCAGGCCATGTTACTGTTTTAGGTGTGTCTTTTTGCTGATGGAGCCAGAACCAGATGAAGCATGGGAAACTTAAAGGAATTTTGTTCATAATAGACTCTGAAAAATGATCCATCACAAGATCTTGTTAGTCCCCTCACCTTTGTTAGCTAGCTGTTGAGTTATTCTTGAAACACAAACATTACTGTTCTTTAGATGTGTTCTTGTGCATCCTACGTCACCATGTAGCCTCAATACTTACAACCCAGGGTGAATTTGTATGTATTATGAAATGAAGCTGGAAGCTTATGACAATATAAAAAGGGCAAGAGCTTGGGGGATTACACAGACTAGTGAGTGCTGGAGTCTTAAATTCTGTCTCTGATTCTAGGTATTTTGTTTCAAATAAAGATATATTGAAAATAAAGGCGCAGAAAGGGCAACAAGAATGATCATAAATATGGATTCTCTATGAGATACACGCTAGACAAACTTGCTCTGCTTGAAACAGAAAACAATATGTAAGGTGTGAGAGGTGTGTGGTTATAGAAAGCACAAAGAGGGTGAGTAGGAATGATTAGTCACTATTTTACGCTAGCTACAATCAAAAGGGAACACTGAATGAAAAGGTCAGGTGGCAGGTTTTCACACCTTTTAAGTTTTAAACTGTAGATCATTCACGAGAGGTTTGGAGCATCAAAAGTATAAATGGAGTCAAAAGTTTTTAGTTCTGTGAAAAGCAGTTACTCAGTTATGAAGATGGAGCATTGACGTGAAGAAACCAAAAGCAAGGAGGATGTGCTAGGAGAAATAATTTTCCACTAATACCCTGTTTCTTAGAGACTTTTTGTGAGCACCTGCTAATGGTTACTGTCACCAAAGATAGAGGGCCGAGGTGGGCCTCAGCTGTGACTCTGTGTGGCTTTTCTACTCATTGCCACTTTAAACGCTCCTGTGGGGCAATGTGGGTGCGAGCTCCGATGTTCTAAATAAATTTTCACACTGGTAAATGCGCTTGTCCTCAGTAAGTTCATCTCCTCTAAATGGCTGAAATAAGCAGTTGTTCCCCAAAGATATTTTGAAGCATGGTTGATAACGACCGTGATTCCATGCAGTGGGTGACGTGCCTTACAGCATCAGAGGGGACAGGCTAAATGAGAGAATGATTCAGAGTGTGCGCCACTGCAATGCGGCGGCTTGCTTACCTCTACAAGTGCGGCTTTGATACACAAATCCTAAATTAATCCATACAAGATCAGTGCTGATCACAAAACCCAGTATTTGCATACAAGTGGGGATTTGTCAAATCTTACATGTTATGCATTGCTAATTTTCCAGGTTTTGAAGAGAGCTCTATTCTTCTGTGAAAGGATATATATGGCCTGTAAATGCAGATTCAAAGGAAATTATCTTCTCAAATGTAGCAACAGGTCTAGTTTAGGAGGAATGATTTTGTTCAGTATGGAGAGGAAATAGGGAGGAAATTTCTAAATTTATCTTCTTCTGCGTCAGCTTTTGTTTTGTATTCCAGGTGAGTCAAGCATGGTGTGGTACGACTTGACTAAACCAGTGCATAAAGAGCTGCACTCTGACTATATGCAGCCCCTGGCTGAGATAAAAGCTCGCAGCAAAAATCATATCCAGGGCGTCCGACGTCTAGTGCAAAACCTTCGGCTGATCAAATCTCCTGCAGAGATTGAAAGGATGAAGATAGCTGGACGGGTGACAGCAGAGGTACGCAGTTGTGTTCAAAATGAACTGCTCCCAAAATAAACCAATGCATTCCTTTAAATTAGAAAGGGGAGAGGGGTGGTGATAGGGTGAGGTAGGTTGGAAGGATAAGGTCTAATCTTAGTTACTGAGCTGCTGTCTCTCAGCTATTGGCTGAGCTCAGCTCCCTCCACATGACAAGGAGAAATAGGAAGACTGTTTGGACCACTTGCTTCTCTCAATTAATGGAACTTCTTTCAATTAGTGTAAGCCAAGATGAGCCAGCAGCTGTTAGACTGTTTTAAAGTACTATATATTCCGGAATAGGGGTTGCCCTATACTCTCTCCCCAACTTCCACTCTCTTTATGACATTTTCTTCCCCATTTATCCCATTGTTTTCAAGGAATCAGCTCATTTTAGGCATTCCCCAAAAGAGAACGGATAACAAAAAAGAATTTCTCTCCAGTTCAGGCTCCTTTACTAACTGAAAGGCCCTGCTTTTTTTGTAGGCTTTCATAGAGACAATGTTTGCCAGCAAATCTCTGGTGGATGAAGCCTTTCTGTATGCAAAGGTGAGTATGTCGTTGTTGGGAGTGAGATAGAAGGACCAGATGATTTTTATTCTTCCAGGAAACTAGGAATGTCAGATCTCCCTATGATGTGCCTCCCACTGTAGCATATTTCTCCTTCACCCAACTCTCACATCTCCTTAGACTCCCTGGACTCTCCTCAAACTGGAACTGCAGTCTTCTTTGGATGACTCCTTTGACCTAAGTCAGTGTCTGCAGCAGATTGTTTTCGAGTGTGCTGGGAGATGTCAAAAGATTCTGAATTTGGGATCTATAATAATAAAAACGATCTTCCACCCCTATGGATATATATCTTGTACCATGTAGCCATACTAGATTCTTACTCTCACGTATGGACTGGTCCCAGTGTTCAGTGTTCTGACACTGAGGATAAAATATTCTTCCTGGAGGTCTTTTTTGTTTGTTATCTTTATTTCCAAGGAGCAGTGAAGTTGAAGCCAAAGCTCCAGAAAGGGTTAATGTGCCTTTAAAGGCATAAAAAAGAGAAGTGTTTGTTTGTTTTAAAGTAACTGAAAAGTAAGGCTGTTCTCTAGCCCCTTTGAATATGCTGGCCTAATTCTTCAGAGCACCTTGAGGCACAAAGTAATTCTGCCAGTGATGGCGGGAAGCTACTGAGTGAAGATTTGATTTAAGGAGTACACAGTTGGTGTGGGGGAAGTTGCAATGTGGGAGAAAAAGCAAACAAAAAAACATGGGAGAAGATTGAGGAGGACTGAAGAGAAGGGTTAAAGGGAGACAAAATTTAACTGATTCCGGAATAGTTGTAAAAGAGAGGTTGGCTGCGGCTGTGTTTGGGTGAGCTGTGAGCATATCTCATGGACAAGAGTTCAAAGTGTGCCTTATCTAAGCAGTCTGATTGCTCTGGAGAAATACTAGCCTAATAAATGGAAAATCCTGAGCTTGAACATAAGATTTCAGTAGAGTTTTTGTTTGTTTATTTTTACCATTTCCACTTACCCTGAGTTAGAATTTGGATCTTCCTCTCCTTGCTGAACATACAAAGAGACTATGGACATATCTGCAAGAAAAATAACTTGCTGTAGATTAGATGACAATTCATACAACAGATAATAGTTGGGAAAAGTAGTAAGATACTTTTATGTTGCAATTATCTGCTATTTGCTTAATACAGTGTTGTGAGATTAGAGAAGTTACTTCTTTAAGGTGTGTGATATTGTTAACCATGTAAATCAAATGCAGCCTGTTTTCTACTGTCCATTTTACAGACTATCACCAAGGCAATGGTAATAAAAAAGCTGGAGCTGCATGGAAGAACAAAAAAAAAAAAAGCAAACTTTCAATTCCTGAAGGAGTCCTTCCTAGCTGGGTGGTTGTTTGTCTCAATGACTGTGCGTTACCATTTTAGTGAACGTTCTTACTTTTGTGCACATTCTCACCTTCCACATCTGGAGAGGGGCGTATCTAATTAATGTATAACTTGTCAGCAGCTGTGGGGTCTGCTTTTGTGGCAGCTTTCAGAGTAAGGTCAGCATGGGGAATTCTCTAGCAGTACTCCTCCCACCCTTACTTGAAGGAACGTATCAGTTGTCAAAGTTTATCTGCTATTGATATCTTTTTCTAATGCATTTAACTACAAAACCTGCTAAACAATCAGAGATAGTTATGATCTTATTCTATAAAACAATTGTATTGTACAAAATATAAGGAGGTGTAACAACTATTTGTAAAGCCTCCGCCTCTTGACTGTAGCCTCTCACTGCACTGGATTACCACAACTGTCTTTAAGCAATGCAGGCACCTCTCAGTTACAAAATAAACACTAATTTGCTTTGCACATTTGCTAAGGAATCACATAAGGAATTGCAGTGAGATGCGTATTTGAGGAACATCAGCAGGATTTGACCCTCAATTCTGACATAGATGGGCCTGTGCTGACATGGCAATGAGCAGTATGTCTAATGTGTAAAGAAAATGATTTTAATTTAAATGGATTTTACAGCTCAATTTTTCACTCTTCTTCAGGATAGTAAAATCTACCTTACTACATATAGGAATCCTGAAGTACTCTGTCCCACATGTTTTTGCTAATTATAGAGAAGATCTGTTAGTGATATGGTAGGTAATATATTGAGGATATAGAGGGGCTTTATAGACATAAGTTTATTCATTTTGATGCTTTCGTCTGCTTCATCACTGAAGGAAGATAAAAATCTTGAACTTTGGGGAAAAAAAAAGAAAAGATTTACTTATTTATTGCTCAGAGATGCAGCTAGCACATACTTTCTTAACCTTCTTATTGGACAGGGTCTTAAAAGGATATACTGCTGTAAATATGCAGGTAGTCTGTAATTTTAAAAGACAACCGCAAAACATACCTGTTGTCTTGCTGGCATTTAGGATCTTAGTCAATTTGCAATGTTGTATGGCAACTAAGAGCATTACTTTGTAGCAGAGCAAATCCTCACATTGATTTATGGCAACATCATGAATGTTTGATACTGTATTGAACAACTTGCACCATGGAGAGCTTCCATGAGATTGGATGCAGGTTTAAAACCCCCTCTTGAAAAGTGGATAGCTCTGTATTATTTCCTCCAGAGTTCTGGGAAAACTTCTAGGCTGTTTTCATGTAATGAATTCACTCTGCAATGTCACTTTGTGTCATACAAAGTAAGAAAAGACTTGTAGGGACTGTGATTATAATAGCCCCAGGGCAAGTAATCAGCAGCACTAACTGTTTTCTCCTCTCTGAATCTGTTTTCCAGTTTGAATTTGAGTGCCGGGCTCGTGGTGCTGATATCTTGGCCTACCCCCCTGTTGTAGCTGGTGGCAATAGATCAAACACTTTGCACTATGTGAAGAACAATCAGCTCATCAAGGTAAACCATATGCTGTCCAGCTACTTTAAATGCGTTTCTGGGACACGCTGTCCCCATATGCATCCCCATGCTGATCTCCATTTTGGCTGAGCAGATCAAAACACTTCAATGTTTTCAAGTTAGCAGGGGAAAGGAATTCTCCCTGGTAAGCTTTACTATCAGTGACAGATTAACTTCACTCCTTCTAGTCTCTTTCTCTCCTCTTTGCACTTGCTGCTGTATTTTCTGCAGAGTGCAAGGACTTGAAAATGAGCTTCCAAATTCTTCATTTAGCAAGCATGGCTGCTCCTGCACCATGTTTCTGTCCTGTAGTGTGCAGTGCTGGGTGAATTGGCAGCCTCACAGAAGAGAGGGACCGCTGCAGCGGAGAGAGTTAAGGCACTCTGGGGCCTTCTGCTGCCACTTGCATTGTTTGGCCTTGCTTTGCAACCTAAGGTGCAAAAATGCCTTCCTTCTCTGGCTAAGCTGAAATGCATTCCAGACTCCATGTAGGCCAACAAAGCAGGGAAGAGGAACAAGGAAAGAAAGGACTAGCATTAAATCTTGAGAGAGGTGAATTAAATAGTTGTGGGTAAATTAATGAATCCGCCTTATTTTGAAGATTCATATTATTGAAATGAACCCTTTCCAGCTCTCCTGATATAACAGCTCTAGATTCAGAGAAGTATTCTGAGAAGCAGTGTAACCCCACTGCTGTATTCACAATTTTCATCTCAGTGGAGCGTATTTTCCCTTCATGTTAATATAGGAGGAAACTTTTCCTGCTAGCATTGTCTTGTTTTGAAGCTGGCATGTAAGCAGACCTTGAAATGATCTGCAGGGACACACATACAAAAGATATGACAGGCTGTTTGGGGCAGAAAGAAGCTTTGTTGTACTGTCATCCAAGGTCAGGCATGCACATGTAACTCCAGCTGCTCCTCTTAAAGTTGTTCTGTTAGATACTGTCACTTGCTCTTTCTAAACAGGTAAGTAGGAGGTTAAACACACAAACTTGACTCTTCCTTTGTGAGCTGCCTCTTACAGATCTTGTTGCCAAATAGGCTGACAAGGTATCTGATTTGGAAGGAATCTAAAGGTTTCATATGGCCAGGTGTGTACAGTCCACTGCTTAGTAGACTGCTCTTTAAAAAAAGAGAAAAAGCTGCGTAACATAAGAAGGCACTCACCGAACAATGAAACCACAGGCTGGACTCCTTTAGCCAGTAAATTGTTACTCAGCTTGTTTAATTGCTTGGACAAGGACAGGTGCTACAATTTCATATTTTACTTAAATAATTGAACCAGCTATTTTGAAAAAGTTGAAAATAGAGTTTAAATGGATAGCTAATGGCTTATATGTGTGATAGTGAGACAATCTCACTGCTCATTTATCTACGTTGTGAGTGTGTGTGGCACTTAACTGCACATAATGATAGTAGCACTGGAAGCAATGCAAGCCATCCGCTTCTGGTTTTCCCTTAATGCACTAGAATTATTTTTTGTCATGCCACATTGTGGCTGCTGGCACAGTCTGATCTATGGAATGAATCTCTATAAAAGGTCTTGAATTACATGCAGTGTAAATCCGTAGAGAATTTAATCCAATGTTTGTACAGTTCTGATTGCTCCAGTTGTTGCTAGCCCCTTCAAGGAGGGAAAGCAAGGCACTGGTTTTATTCCTGGCACTTTCTCTTTTTTTGCATTGTTTTCTAGAAAATGGGCAGTCAGTGATTTGATTGACATGGAGTTTCACATCTCCAAAAGTCCATTTTTCATTACCAGGTAGATTCGGAAGTATATTTGAGAGCAGTCAAGAAGGTCCCAGTAGAGAAAAAAGATGGTACAAACTATTCAGTAGTGCTTTTACAGCAGACATACACTGCCAGAGGTTATTTTGCTGAGTCTTGTGACAAGACTAAATTTCTTACTTGTTAGTGATCATGGTGGTAACTCAAAAAAACTTATTTTATTGCAAAACACTTCTGTCTCAGTCACTGAGACATTTCACTAGTGAAAGGAGTCACTGGCACAATTTACTGGAAGAGAAACCGTCCAACTGGAGTAGTCTATTTATAAACAGTAGCACCTGGGGTGTTGTTCTGCAAAAGGGATTCACATCTCTGCAGCTGCTTTGCAAGAATAACTGTATAACTTCCTTTCTTGCTCTCACACAGAGAAATCAATTCAGTTAATAGCGACTGATCCACACAGCATTTTTTCATGTTGTTCTGCAGGATGGTGAACTGGTCTTGCTAGACGGTGGATGTGAGTCTTCCTGCTACGTAAGTGACATCACACGAACCTGGCCCGTCAATGGAAGGTATTGCTGCAATGAGGCTGTTTTGAAGGAATATGAGAAGCTCTTAAATAATTCACAGTTTGAATGTGTGTGTGTGATCTGTTTCTGAATAGTTTGAACAGGTCCCATTCTGTGGTTTTTCAGAGTAATCAAATTGCATAAATGAATCTGGCAGTATGAGAAGTTACATTCCCCGAGGCTTCATTCATTACTGCATGAATATTTGGGATCACTGCTATTTTCACTATCTTAAGTGCAGAGGGGGCTCTTGTGCATTCAGCTGCTGCTAACCCTGGTTGTGTGTAGGGGAACAGGAATTTAGTTTACAATTGCATGACTTTGCCAGTTGTGAATTTGCTGGTATGGTGTTGCTCACTGCGCCATGTGGTTGCGTGTTTGATTCCTGCATGTTTTAGCTCAAGTGTGTTATTTTTCCAGCAGTAGCATTGCCTTGATTTGCTTTGGGGTTAAGAAGTCAACCAGAAACCCTGCCTCTACCCAATGTGATGCCTTGTCTGGCATTTCAAATAAGAAGGCAGTTACTTTCCTTTCTGGCTTTCCTTGTTCCATCACTGAACTGAATCTGGCCCTAAAACAGCTTCTGGATCTCTATCCAGAAGAGATATTGTGAGATACTGACTTAATTGTTAGAAAAAATTTGGTCCTTTTCTCAATGTTTTTCAGGTTCACCAAACCTCAAGCAGAACTATACCAGGCTGTCCTGGACATCCAGAAGTCCTGTCTGAGCCTCTGCTCCCCAGGTGTGAGTCTGGAACATATCTACAGCCTCATGCTGAGCCTTATTGGACAGAAACTGAAAGATTTGGGGATCCTAAAGAGCAGTGTCACTGAGAGCCAATTCTTCAAGGTACTTGAAGGTTTTTTAATCCAGCTTCTCCCCGCTAGGCCTGACTATTGCATCCGTAGGCTATATTACTGGCTTTAGTTTGGATCAGGAGCGTGCTTTTGAAGTCAATCTTTTAATTGCCCCTACTTAATATGCTTTAATTAATGTCGTGGCCTGGTCTCAGCACAGAACTGGATTTTTTTCAGATGAGGCTAAACTCGGAAGTTGCGTTTCAACCCCTGATGGGCATTCAGCCCACAATTTGTTCTGAAGTAACATCTCAGTCTTACACGTGCATCGTGTGGATGTTATCCCCTTGGCACTTACTATTTCACTCTGCAGATCCATTCCCGCTGGCCTGCACTACATATTAATGTAGATATACTTTAGAATACAGGCAGTCTGAAGGGACCTATAGAAATGTTGGCACTAGTGCAGAAGTCTGTGTCAAGGGCTGACAGCAGGTAATTAGTCATAGTTTCGTGCTTTAAAATAGCCTAAATTTGCAGTTCTACCAAAAGGTGCAGCCCATTTTCCCAGTCTTTCCACCTGCTGCCTCTTCTGCACCTCTTTGTGTCACTGCTGGAATTCACAGAACGACCTGGGGAACAGACTGGGGAACTGCTCTGCCACGGAGCCGAAGCTGCAGACAAGACAGGATTGTTTGGCAGCTGGAAAAGTTCACCTGGTCCCGTTCACTGCAAACCGGCATGATTGCTGATGCTGATATGAGAAGGCTGGCAGGAACCAGGTGGCAGAACTATCCCTTTGGCAGCAGTACAGATTTCTGCCAGATTTAATTGTCCTGCAGTGTCAGTGCAATAACAGCACATGTTCTCGGCCCTGACCGGAGGCTCCCATGCCGCTTTCTCTCGGCAGGCGGCAGCACAGCCAGATGAGATCAGCGGCTGCAGCTCAGTCCCCAGTGAATGTGAGGAGCGTGGGGCAGAGGAGGAATTAGCTCTTTGATTCCCCCTGACACACAGCTCCTCTGGAGGGAGGGGATTGGGATGATGCAAGGGGAGGCAGTAACAGTGTCCGGTAGAGGTGGGTTAAAATGCTGCTGTAGCTGCTGAGTGAAATTGGCACAGCACCCTCTCTGTTGTGCATAGGAGGCTGCTTCATCACATCACACAGCAGCTGGTACAGCTGCTGCCAGTTGTCAGGGTCAAATGATGGGAGCAACACAGGGCTTGGATGTGTAAGGGATGGAAAGGGTCAGGGCAGCAGAGTTCAGTGAGCCAAAAACTGAGGTCTTGCCTGTCCTGCTGAGGTAGTGATGTGCTCGGGCTGTTCTTGTCAGGGAGGAGGAAAGGCAGTTTGCAACATGCTCAGAACAGCCAGCTGGTACAATTAGGTTTTGAGGGCCCTCCAGTTCTGATACCTGGAAGACCCAGTGACCTAGTCATTGCAGTGAGACTGCTTGCTAAGCACAGAACTCTGCTCTCTCTCCTCTCCAGTCTTTTGCATCGGAACAATGGGTTGGCCTGTTTTTAACTACCTCCGTAACACTTGTTTTGTCTTCTGCTAGGCTGTTCGAAAGTACTGCCCGCATCATGTGGGCCATTACCTGGGCATGGATGTTCATGATACCCCAGATATATCCCGATCGCTCCCCCTCCAGCCAGGCATGGTGATAACCATTGAACCAGGTAAAAAAATGTACAGTCAGTGGTGGACTTTTGTCCAGGTAACCCTGAGGATAACAGTATTGCATTGAATATTTAGTTGGTCCCTTAGACCAAAGCATTCAGGTCCTTTCTTGCTGAAATTAGGAATGATTACAGGGTTAGAAAATGTTAACTTAATCCTCTCCCAAAGTCATTACAGTATTAGAAAACCGTATTTCCCTCCCAGACATAGCCAAGCTAACAAGCTGTGGGAGTTAACTCTCAGAAAGTGTCTGTGCAGCATAAGGCAGAGCAGACTCAGACTGCTAGCATTTGACCCTCAGCAGCACAGGTGAATTGCAGGGCAGAGAAGCAGAGTAAACTCACTTGTGTTGTGGTCTGTGTGACTGTGACTAAACTACTACCAGTCACTGGTAGCGTAAGTCTCGTGAACCCTGCAGCCTGCAATTACAGGCATTCACAACTTGTCTTTGCAAACTAGGCATTTCACGATGAATCTTTATTTCTTGTCACTGGATTTGGAGCTGTCAGCTGAAAACTGGTATTTAATGCTCGGCTCTTCTCTCTTTCTATTCAGAACACTGTTAAAATCATCATTGTGAGCATTGAGAGCAAGAAATGCAGAAGGACCAGCTGTAGTTGTGGAAGTTTTAATCGACATGCTAGCATCTGTAGGCACTGAGAGAGACTTTCCTTTCTTTTTCTACCAGCTGCTGTGATTGAAGGAAAGAGAGCGGCTTCCCTTATTAAACTTCTTCAGGGTCCAACTTCTGTTATATTGCTGAAAGTCTGACCCTGTTCTCATGGCAGTGCAGTGAGGGGAAGATGTTGTTCTGGAGAGTGTGGCATGTTTTAATTCCCTTTTTAATTCCGTCAGGCCTTTATATCCCTGAAGATGACATGAATGCCCCGGAGAGGTTTCGTGGCATTGGTGTGCGCATTGAGGATGATGTTGTGATAGCAGAAGATTCGCCTCTCATCTTGTCTGCTGACTGTCCCAAGGAGATCTATGACATCGAGCAGATTTGTGGCCGCAGCTCGTGATGACCCTCCTCTGCCTCTTGCATCCTTCTTGGGGGGCGCACGCCTCCAGGGATGCAGATCTCTGTGACTGGCTGTACTTGTCGAGTGATGGAAGGTGTGGACTGCTGATGGCTATTCCCAAACCTGAGGCTGGGAAGTAGAATGCAAGAGGCTTAGGCACCGAGGGCTGAAAAGCAAAGCAATCTTTTCTGTGTGCATTTTCTTTCCAATTTCCTTCTAGCTGTTGTAGGACATGGGGGTGAATTCATCCCTCCAATATGTGGATCCATCAGTTCTGGTGCCCTTGGATGGATTTTGTGAGTGCCAGCACCAGGGCTTTTGCCTGGTCCCTCTACGTATGCATAGGTGCAACTGCTGAGGGCCCTTTAGCGGTAGTTTCACACCAGTCAGTTTTTTAAAACTTTGAAAAATGCTGTTTTGAGGCAATAAGGCTGTGTCAGACACCTTTGACTGTATAGAGCCCTGGAAGAAGGGAGTTTGGTAGTCAGGAAAATGGGTTTGGTTGGGAGGTAGTTATACCTGAAGCCTTTGCAGAATGCTTTTAGTATTCTAAGGGTAAGGACGCGCTTGGACCCTGTTAAAGAAGATGCAAAATGGGCCAACAACAGGGAAAAACATCTCATCTGGTCCTTCAGCTATTTGAAGTGTTTGGTAAGTTTAGAGTGTACTAGTAGGGCTCAGGAGGTTGTACACACCCTTGTACACACCCATTCTTGCTGTTTTCCACATTCCCTTTTTTTATCCCAAATCTCCATTCCAGGCTCCTGTTTGGAGCCCACCACTGCCCTGGGAAGCTGGGGCCACGTTGGGTGTGCTGGGCTCCACTGGGAAGCTGCTGGTTGTCACCCAAACGTGAGATGTTCGATTCTGGGACAGTCATGGCACCTTTCTGGTTTATGCTGTAAGTGCCAGCAACTTCAGCGGTGCATTTTTCAAGAGACTGCAGTATGGCAAGTCACAAGTCTTTTTACAGCTTTTGTGAAATAATTCTGCTTTTCAGAACACCGAGGGCATAATCACTGCTGCCTTTTGGGTTTTGCCAAGTGTCAGTAGGTAATGCTATGTGATTATATTTTTTGAGGCAGCTGCAAACGTGAATTGTGGCCAGGACGGATGAGGAGTAAAGAGACTTGTCTTTTGTCAACATCAACCTACAACTCAAGCCATTGTATGCCATAGTAAATATACCTACTTGGGGCAAATGTGGTGTCTGTGTATTTCCTGAAGATATTTTGACAATCAGTTGTTAAACATGAGAAAATTGCCTCTAATCGATGTATCTCCTGTTATTTCTGCTTACTTCTGCTTCATATAATCTTTTGTCTTTTCTGATTGTAGCTTTCAGTATTTTTCCTCTCGGTTTTTTATTCTCTTCTCTTCCAATATTGACTCACTTTGACACACCATATCACTGCTTCCTAATGCCTGCTTTCCTTTCTCATCAATGGCATTGTCTCTTCCCTTTTTTGCCCTAATTCCCCACGGTAGATGTAGGGGATGATAATCAGGGTTCTTGAGTTTGACTTCTGGCTTTGTTGCTGTGTAGCATCTAGCAAAATCTGCTTTTTTTTTTTTTTTTCCTTTTCTTTCTGCTTCATTTCACTCAGTGAAGGCCAGCCAGCCAGTGTCACGCAGCTCCCATTGCTTTTAATGGGAGCTGGGTATGTCCACCAGCATGTGAATTTGGCACTTGAAAGGCAGCCAAGACACGCTGTAATTTTGTTTTTTAAACACGATGAAAAGTGAATGTTTTTACAGAGTTTCATGTATCAAGTTTCACCTAGCGAAGAGAATCTGCTAATCTCAGACATTTTTTTTAGATGCCCATGCGTTACAGTGAGAAGCACAGTGTAAATTGTTAGATGGAAGGCCTGTCAAGCATGGACACAGATCTGACTATTACTTTTAATGTTCTTTGGATTTGTAACACATTTGTTGTTCCAATTACACACGTTAGAACCATATCAACGAGGAAAAATCTTGGATTTTTGAACTTTGTAAGCAGCTTAAAATAGCATTAACCTGGGCGCTACATGTGTCTGCTGATCAGCACATCTGCCCAGGTACTTAACTGCAGAGTTAATGGTTATACTTACTGTAAATAAGCCTTTGGAATACATATAAAAAATTATTTTTAAAATAAATCATTTTCTAGAAAGTCATTTATTGGGCCATGAAGTTGCATGGCTGTTGAATTGATATAAGCACTTCCAGGAAAGGCATTATTTTTCAGGGAGATTTATAAATTATCTTGTACATTGTCAACTACAGGCACACACTACTTCTTTCAGGAAAATCCTGCAGCTTGCACACACCAGTAGATTTTAGGAATGTTGAGGATGAATGCTTTTGTCAGTAAAGAAGTGTTTGTGACTCTGCTGGAGGAGTAATGGGTCTGCTAGGACTGCTGTGCCCTGACATGCAAAGTGTATCTGATGTAGGCTGTGAATTGCTGGAGCAATCGAAGTTTCTCTATTTTTTTCAGAGTGTTTAGCCATTTCTTCCGCATAAACTGCTGCAAATGTTTCGAATCTGTTGCTCCGCGAGAGTCCATTTTGCAGAATGTATTAAATTTGAGTTTTACCAACCTACATTTTTGAAGGCTTTTTCTCAGTTGCTGCAGAAGTGGACGGTCAGAGTGTCGTCTGGTACCTACGCGCATGATACAGCATCCCCTGAATGCAACCAAATACGTGAATGTTTCACACGTCCTTCACCAAGAAACTAGTCTAAAGAATTCCTCCTCTGACTGCCCGTAACAGTGACGTACCTCCCAGATCTCCGTTCCCATACTGCCGGATTTCCAACCCGTCCGCCACTGCAGAGGTTCCTCACTCCCACCACTTGGGTGCAGGAGCAGCTCTCGGTGGCTGCTCGAGTTGTCGGCTCGATGAGGGTGAATCCATTTCCTAACCCTTGCTGCCGAATCCTCTTCGCTGGCTCGTAGGAGCTCGAGTATGTGTACCTTAAGGCGTCTTTCCTTGGGCTTCTTGAGCCAGCAGAAACTGAGGTATATGCAAGTGCATTTGGGGAGAGATTTTACGGAACTACGGCACGGGCCTTAAGGGAATCAGAGAATGAGATAGATAAAATTTTCACATCAGAGCCAGCCATCCCCACGGAGAAGCTGCTTGGCTTTCAGAGGAAGCCCAGGAGGCTTTTCTTGGCTTTCCCTTTTCATACTCTACCAGAGGCCTGCTCTGCTTTGCAGGTAACTAGTTGGTAGTAAAGTCCTGCTGTTAAAGTACAGCCTGTGCAGAGACATTAATTTGCAGATAGGCTTCTGTCATCAACGTGGAAATTTGGCGTTTAACGCAGTTTGGCATTCAATCTCTGTTATCTGTGAAAAAATACAGTATGTCTTTTCTAAAATTGCACTTGATATTTTGCAAAGCAACCTGATGGTCTGGGAAGGAGGAGCAAACCAAGGGGGCACGTAAAAGGGAATGGAGATGGAGGCTTCTGGGAACGTACAGCGCAAAAGAGAAGATTCAGGAGGAGGGCGTAATTTGGAGCCAAGGGGATGTGTGCAGGTGGATGTAACAGCAAGGAGACAACATCCAGGTGTAAAAAGGATATTCGGTACCTTCCCAGAGCAGCACCATAGCTGAGAAACTGGTTATGCTAGCCGGGAGACCCTGATTGATTTGTCCTACTCGAGGGGGGAGGAAAGGAGTCAGATTGTATTGATGAACTTGGTCTTAACAGCTAGTTTAATTATTTCTTTTAAAAATCAATAGAATTATCCTATAAGAAAGTTTCCTGCAGTTTCATGTTATTGATCATGTGTCATATTTTAAGTAATGTGCAGGGGGAAAAGTACGTTTCTAGGCAAAATCTTCATTATGATGGAGGGAGCAAGGCTGAGGTTACATACTCTTACGCTACCCAAATTGCTACTATGGAAATTTAGTAATTACTCCCAGAAGAATTTCTATAAAGCAGAAAGAGTTAAGGTTAAACTTAGAAAAAATCCATATGAGATAAATGACCAAAATACTTTAATTATGATGAGATGCTTAGTACTTTGTGTAATTGGATAATGACACTCTGCACTGCAATAAATTGATGGGTTTGGATTTCTTTTGAAGTGAGTTGTCTAGAAACATATATGTGCATCTTTCATCAGTGCACAGACCTAAACTGTGCTGCAGTTTCTGATGGTACTTGTGCTCCCTACACACATGCTCAGCCTCTAAAATCTTCATTAAAAATCATGGGTTTGGGCAACACTGGCTCCAGGAGTGGGTTGGACTTATAAAATTAATCCTGTTTCCTTTTAAAGCAGAATTTGTACCAGAAATGGATAGTGAGGCTCAGTTTCTCCCTTCAGTTCCTTTTGCCTGCTCACTTTGTCACCTGCTCACTTTCTCACCTGCTTGTTTCTCCAGAGCACCACCAAAATCTGGCTAACCAAAACCAGACTCTTCAGAAGACGGGCAGAAGGGAACGAGGAAAAATTGCCAGGTCTTCCATGTGTGTCACCTTCTCTTGCTGTCTCATACCACACAGGCCTTCTGAACTACCACGAGCGAGTTATCCATTAACGGTGGCAAAGAAAAAACAGTTCCTGTCTGGGTAGGCCTTGATGGCCAGAGCTGTGAGTGAAAAAAAAGTTAAAAAAAAAAGTTGGTTGTAGATCCAGGAATGAGAATGGTTAGGGTTTAAATTGTTCCCTTTATTTGGTTGTTGAAGAAACAAATAGCCCTACAGGATTGAGTGAGCTCCTGTTTTTGGAGTTCCTGTTTTTTTGAGCTCCTGTTTTTGGAGCTCCTTGGTCTCAGACGTGCTGTTGGGCCAGGACACACGGTATCTGAAGCTCTGCATTGGTTTTCTCCTGCGGAGACCAAGAAGAATCTGTGTTGTTGATTTTTAAGGAACTTTAGTTCTCATGGTCCAGGCAGGAATTTCATGGCAGCAGAATCTGGAAACACTCAGCCTGTTGTTTATCGATCAGGTACTGAGAGAAGTTGGGAGTCCAGTAAAAACTGGTTGAAATGCAATTCCTTCCAGGGAAAAAGGTTCACTGTCTTTGGTTGTTTGTCTTTATCAGTAAATGTGGCCAATATGAACAATATTGTGTGAGGGAGAGAGTCTCAGCTTCTTTTTATTCCTCGGCAGAACAAAGCTTCCGCCTCTTATGTGCGCTTCTGAGAGATTAATGTGAAATGGGATGGGCCGCTGATCCAAGTTAAAATCAAGCAGCCTGACTCTTCTACCAGGAAATACTTAGCAGGTGTCAGGTAATTTCGTACTGTGTGAATCCTTCACATGATAAAGGTAGTGCTGTGAGTTTGGGGAAAGTGTACCCTGTTTTTTCCAGTCTGATATGCACATAGAGCACAGCACATGATGTTGGGTTTGCCTATGGGAGCCACAGCCGATACCTCTGCAATGACCAGTGTTACATCTCGGTTGTGGCCATGGAGGGGACACCGTAAATCATTCAAATAAAGTCCATCTGTAATTAGCATAGGAGGGGTGGAATTTTAAGCTTTGTCAGTGCAGATCTCATTCCAGACTACAAAAACTGGTGTTTCCGATGCTGCCTGTGAACACCCTTTCTTACCACCTCTTCACACACTGACTATTTCTACACAGTGGCCCAGGTGAGGTTCATCATTTGTGCTGGTATGCCCGTGCTGTTGTCCCAACGTGTCATCAGGATCCAGTTTTGATCTAATAACTGCTTAACATCTGTACCGTTGCCTCTTTGACAGAAGTTTGATACGGCATCTGGGACCAGGACAGTTCCCATCCTGGGCCCGAAGCTGCTGTGGAGCTGGGTCTGGCTGACTCCTCACGCACCATGCATGTTCCCTCAGCCCAGCCACGCACGCCTTCTTGATCTTGGACAGGCAGAAGGAGACCCAGCCCTACGAACAGCTCTGAAATCTCCACTCCTCTCATCCGCAGGCAGCTGCCCCTGTCACCAAGGCCTTACAACTCCGTCTGTCCCCCCAACTGTCCCTCCGGGCTCAGAGCTGCCCATCTGCAGCCAAACGAGCCGTAGCCCCCAGCTCGTTGCACTGCCCGATTGCCTGTTGCCAGATTCCACGAGGTCCCGACAAGGTCCCTCTGATGCACTGCAGATAAATCTGGTACGTATATCACTTCCTAATTTATGCTTTACCCTGCTCTTTTTTTTTCCAGGAGGTGAGCTTTTTAGCAGCTACATGGGTGTTACTGTGGTGACTGTAACCAGGCAAAAACATACAGTTCGCGTTGAGACGGTTCTACATTTGTGGACTTGGATACGATTAGGAGATTTCTAAAGGCATGCTGTATTTTTTTGCCCTTCCCTGCAGAACAGAGAGAGGTTTCTAATGAATTTTCAGTTATAAAGTGGAAATGTATGATTCATCTTCAAAAGCATGTGTGTATTAGTTTATATATAAACACACACATATTATGAACACAAATGTTGTGCCTTTTAGCTACTTAAAGATTTTGAAGAGCTTTTCACCAAGCATAATTAAGATTGTTTAGATGTTTTGACTCTGTGTTCCTTTACGTTTTATGTGGATTTCTTGTAAAATTTAATTTTAACTTAGATTGTCCAAGGTTTATAATTCTTGGGGTTTGAATAATTACATTATCTCTGTAATATATTTTACTGTAAATCACAGACACGTAGCCTTCACATTGCCTCCATCTTAATGTTGTGGTTTTTTTCCTATTGTATAATGTAATTTCCCTGGTGTATGAGGCTTCTGAGGAGACAGCTCTCTGTGATTCTCACCTGGTGAGTGCCTTTCCAAAAAAACGCAAGAGTGTGTTGTCTGAAAGAAGTGATTATTGCTCTTGAAACCCAGAACTATGCGAGTTTTGAACCCAATTAACTTGGTTATTTAGAGAAATGAAATAGAACAAATGGAGCAATTAATGAAAAAGAGGATTGTAGTGCAAACCTAAATTCTTAATATAGTGATAACTGCATATTAATCTCAGCAATTAGATATGAGCTGCTATTTTCCTCCAGTGTGCAACTCTGTCTGAAACTGTAGTGAATGTTAATAATATACTATAAAACTGATAATCTGTTTCTCTAAGATCATTTAAGAAAAAAAAAAAAGGACCAAATGCTGCGTTTCTTAAGGATTCCATTTTTAGTGTTTTATAAGCTAACAGAGGACTGGCATGAAAATCCTCTATCATACTGCCCATTTTCAGTCAACAGAGTCACAGAATGAAAGGGTAGGAGGCACGCTTTGATCAGGGTAGTTCGAGTGCCTTCCTATTACAACTGTTGCATTTTACCTGTTTAATTTAGTGCCTGGTAGCTCATGTGTGACTACAGCAGATCCCTCTGTAAGGCATCAAGCCTTAATCTGGACACTGAGGAAGGGAGA